CCCTGGACCTGCTGGGGTTGGACCCCGGCAGGAAATGTCTGGCTTAGCAGGATGAGGGGGAAAGAATAGTAGAGATGGCTGCTGTCAAAGATGATGGACAGGGCATAGGACCTTTGCAAGGAAGATGTTGCAGAATTTAAAAAAGAAAAACAGTGACAAGAGAATCATCGTACTGTTTAGAAAGAAAATGAGCTAACAGCTGGAGATGCCCACTATTACTTTTCTACTCATATTCTGGAAAGAGGTGATCCAAGGTGCCATATGACCCCACCATCCTGTCCACAGCTCAGCAGACCAGAAATGGCCCCACCTGCACCCCCAGCTCAGTCATTTTCTCTCCTAGAAACTTGGAACTGAGACAGACTAAGACAGTCAAAATGGGGAAGCTTAGGATGGAGATATATATATATATATATATATATATATATATATATATATATATATATATATATATGAGAGAGAGAGACTTGACAAACCAAAGCCACATAAAAAATACATTTTTGGGGAGGTGGAAATTAAAAACACTGCAAAGGGAACTGTATGTGGAAAATAATGTGGAGCAGACATTTAAGGGTAAGCAAAGAGGAAAGACCAGGCAGGAATTATGGATGGAAGGGCTGCCTGCAAACCTTCAGCTCCAATGAGGGCAAGTTGTACTGACATGGATGGGATTTCAGTGGCGTCTCCTGGATTTTCACGAGTTCCTGTTTACTTAAACTGGGATGGGTAGGCTTCTGTCTTTTGCAATGGGATGATACCAAAGGCTGAAGGATTAAAACACACAAACACCTCCACCACGAGCCTTAAAGCGTGTGACACTACCCCAGTCAGGCCTCAGGGAGTCCGTCCCCTTTGAATAGTTTTCTCATGTCCTCCCCAAGCTAGAAAGCAGAAAGATTCTCTTTCCCAAGCTCCCTTTGCAGCTGGGGACAAGGCCTGGGCCCAAGGCTCTCCCTGTCAAATACACACATGGTAGAGTTCAATTCAGAAATGATCAGTGTGAGGAAACGGGTTGGGCTGAGGCACTGGTGCTGCTGGTGAGAGTGGCTGGCAGCAGAGCTTCTGGATTCCAGGAGCTGTACTGGTTGTGAGACATTCCAGAGCGGAAACGGCTTTGGTGCTAGTGGCCTTGGTTATCTCAGAGTCATTGCTGGCAGTGGCACACACTGTAACCTCTGTAGTTTCAGTTCACAGGTCACAGTGGATGCTTCCCACAGGCCAGTTTGGGCATGATTTTGGAATGTTCCAGCTTAGTTTTGAGCCTGTTTGTTCAGCCTCCCAACAATTCAATGAGACAATCAGTGTCCTTTACAGATGTTTTTTGGCTCAAACTTGTCAAAGTGGGTTCTGTTATTTGCAACTTACAAAATCCTGTTTCGTATAGCATTTCTGGCCACAAAACTATTTTTAAGATCAGTATATGACCTCTCTGAACACAGGAATGGGTACACCCTTGAAGTTTCTAGAACACTCTGACACTGCGACAATAAGGGTTCTATCGTGTTTTATGTGAGGCTGGTATACTTAGTCTCCCACCAATAAACTAAGCAATTATTCTCTGTCTAGGTGCCACCTTTGGTAGGAAGGTTTACGAGAAGTAAAAATAAGGAAGACTGCTCTGACCTGAAAGAAGAATTTCGCCAAGAATTCAGCAAGCTTGAGGAGGTAATCAATCGCGCCTTTTGGCTTTTATCAGAGTAAATGATACACTACACCTACCCACTTGTTTCAACTCTCTTTTCTTCATATCCTCATTCCCCACATCACTTTATAGCAATTAGTAATAATACCAAATAAGAAATTTTAGTTTATAACAGATTGACATAAGCTGTGTGTTTTAAGATATAAACCAAAACACCTAAAAATATTTTGTCATGGGCTTTTAAAATGTTTTGTTGCATCGATGTTAAAATAACATGGAAAAAAGGAAGTTCACCAATATTTCTATAATGTGTCACCTGTTTTCTTTTTTTCCCATGCTGCTTCCAGGCCCTGTCCATAAATTAAAAAAAAAAGATTAACATAAATGTAATCAGAGCATAGATACCATCCTGTGTTATTTTACTGAGTATTATATAATAAACATTTCCCACCACAAGAGTTTGCCATGAATCCTACAGACACTTGGCCAAGCCAGATGTGTTTTACCTCCTTTGGGGGAGAGCTGCCATTTTGGGCCTTCAGACATTCCAAATACTTCAGGTAGATTTAAACAATCAGTTTACAATGCAGACTGTTATACAGGCCCTGAAAAAAACTGTAGAAGTTTTATAAAGGGTTAAGTTGATTTGATGTTGATTAATCAAATAATATTCTGAATTCCCCCCCTTTGACAAAACCATAATACCAATTCACCTTCTTGAATTTCGAATGCATAGTTTATGCTTGGTTTTCAAATAATTTTATGTAACAGTTAATTGTTAAACTAGCTCTTCCCAGTATATTTTAAGTAAATTGTTTTATTGAAGAATTATAGAGAAGTAACCAAAACATAAGAGTCCAGCTTGATGAATTTTTACATAGGGAACATCGCCATAGAATCAGCACCCATTGCAAAACACAGAATATTTGTTTTGGCTATTTTTTTGTTTTGTTATATAAATGGACTAAAATAATATGCACTTTTTTGGATCTGGCTTATTTCATACAGTATTAGGTTTGTGAAGTTCATCTATGTTGGGTGTAGGTCATTCCTATTTTTTGTAGTTCCAGCATATGGGTGTATCACAGTTTTTAAAAAGATCCTTTTTACCCCTTGGGAGCAGAAAACATTTCCGCTTTGGGGCTATTACAGTTAGTGCTGCAGTGAACATTCTTTGGTGAATATATGTTCACATTTCCAAGTAGAATGACCGGGTTAAAAGTATGCGTGCACTCAGCTTTAGTAGGTACTATTAAAACATGGTTGTACCAATTTACATTCCTATCACCAGTGGTTCCACACCTTCGCTAACTTTGTCTTGTTCATTTTAGCCATTCTGATGGATGTATAGTGGTATTACATTTTGGTTCTAATTCTCATTTCCCTGATAACTAATGTAGTTGACTACCTTTTCAAATGGTTATTGGCCATTTGGACATCCTTTAATTGTGAAGTGTAAGTCTTGCCCAATTTTTTAAATAGGTGGTTTGCCTTTTTTCTTGATTCCCAGGAGTTCTTTCTATATTCTGAATACCAGTCCTATGTTATATTCCGAAGATCTTGCACTCTGTTGCTTATTTTATTTTTCTCCACTTTTCAGTTTATTTTGTTTATTGTTTTGTTTCATCCCAAACTAACAAATAGTAAAGCTTAAACTGATCAAATAGACAAAAAGTGAACTTGGATATGTTAGGGTAAAGCTGCAGGTCTCACCACTCTACATAACTCACCTGCATCATCTCTGATGATGAATCTTACTAGATATCCAAATAAGAAGTACTCTTATGCTGTTTAATGTTCAGGTTCTGACCAATAAGAAGACAACCTTCTTTGGTGGCAATTCACTTTCTATGATTGATTACCTCATCTGGCCCTGGTTTGAACGACTGGAAGCACTGGAGTTAAATGAGTAAGACATTTTAATATTTTGTGCATAATTTAGGATAATGATAATTTGAATAGTATATGTTGACCTTTTTCTGAACAAAAATATTTTATACAACTTTTATGAATGGGAAAAGGCAGACAGGAGGAAGACTTGTGCATGTCATATACCTATACTCATCACTGCTTCCCATCAGGGGGAGTAGGCAGGGGTTCTGTGACATGTGGTAAAATGTTTTAAAAGTAATTTACTCCTTCCCTCCTTAATAAAAATCCATAAGGAAGGTTTGGGGAGGAGGAGCTGAGTGAGAAAGGTGAAGGTATTAAGAAATACAATTGGCAGTTACAAAATAGTCACAGGGATGTAAAATACAGCATAGGGAATATAGACAGTAATGTTGTAATACCTAGGTATGGCGTAAGATGGGTACTAGACTTATTGTGGGATCACTTTGTATGTTATATAAATGTCTAACCATTATGTTGTACATCTGAAATGAATATAATATTGAATGTCAACTGTAATTGAAACTTTTTAAAAAATCCATAAGGATGTACACTTTTATAAGGCTGTCATGCAGGATTATATGACCAATGCTACCTCCCAGTTACCAGTAAGATTCCATACTGGTTTGCAAGCTCCATATTTTGAAGTTTTGCAGCCACTTTAGCTTACCCCCTCTTAGAGCTTAGAGCTATTCAGAGTTATTCTTTATATATGTATATAGTGGGGGGTCTTGCCCTAGTAACACCGAAGATCAGTGATCACAGATCTCCACAACAAATATAAAAATAATGGCAAAAGTTTGAAATATTCTAAGAATTACTAAAATGTGGCATAGAGACACAAAGTCAAACAAATGCTCTTGGGAGAATTGTGCCAATAGACTTGCTCAATGCAGGTTTGTTGCCACAAACCTTCAGTTTGTAAAAAAAGCAACGTCTGAGAAGCTCAACAAAAGGAGGCATGCCTTATTCTATGATTATGTACATTTTAAAGAACTACTTTAAAAGGTTAGAGGAGAACAAAGTGAAACTGCAGAGTGCTGATGATGATATATCGACTTTGCAATGCCTTCTTCTTTCGTCCAGCTCACACCTTCATTCTTTCCGTCTCCCACAGGTGTATAGACCACACTCCAAAACTTAAGCTCTGGATGGCAGCCATGAGGAAAGATCCCACAGTATCAGCTCTCCTCACTGACGTGAAAACCTTTCAAGGTTTCTTAAATCTCTACTTGCAGAACAGCTTGGAGGCCTGTGACTACGGGCTCTGATGGGGGCAGAAGTCAACAATGAAAATATATCTGATACTTTCCTTCACCAATAGGAATAAAAGCATGCTTTTACCTTAACAAGTGCTCTCATGTTTCTTTGGATCACCTTCTTTGAGTTGACATCATGGCCCAGCGCTGGGGTTTCCTTAAGGCCTTCCTGCAGAAATGTAAACACGTTTCCTGCTCCAGATGCTCAAATGACACTAAGGTTTCTATCAGTCTCTGCTGAAAACCTCTAAGTCATCCTCTCTACTGAGATCTAGACTTCAATCTAGATTTCTAACTTCCACTTGGATACCCCATTGTCATTTCAAGAGATGCCCTTTCAAGTTTGTCTTCAAGGTTCTGAATTGAGAATTTTCAATCCTCATTTTTTCCATCATCAACTGAATTTCACTTGCCATTGTCACCCATGAAGACCAGACCTGCATCACCTCAAAGTCAGGTGACTAGGTGGCCTCCTATTTGATCTCCAATATCTAATCTGTATCCTCTTCAACTCCTTCCTACCAAAATCCCATTTCAGGTCTACAACATAGAGATTATGTTGTACAACCCATTCAATATGTAATTACTGTGGATACCACATCCCTTAATGCGGTATGTAAGGCCGAATGAGTAATAGGTAGCATCCCCCTTCAGAAATAGTAATGCCATTTTCCAAACACTTCCATAGCCCATTGGTCTTCTCACTAATGTTTATCATCACATCACCTCCAGGAGAAGAAGGTAGGTCAGAGAGCATCACTTCACTCTATAGATCATTCAACTAAGGTCCCGAGGTTAAATGAGACCTTAAGATGCTGGCAGAAATATCTGGAGGACACACCCAGCACCCTGTTCTTACTGTCAGAATTAAGGGGCTGTTGACCGGCCAGCCCCAATACAGTCTGGTTTCCTGTACTTCAACGGAAGAGCACCTAGCAATCACCTTGGGCTCACTGCTGGGGGTGGGCCGGGTGGGCCACATTTGAAAAGAGCGCCCCCCTCCCACCCCATTGTGATGCAAGCGATCTGGGGGCCGCACCCTGAGAGGCAGCTGCCAAAGGATGACTTCACAAAGGGCCTTCGGCCGCCAACGCCCAAGCTCCGGGCGACCCATCTCTGCCCCGATCGGCCTGCCCCACGCTCTGGGCCCAGGTCGGCTGCGGGCGGACTTCAGTCGGAGGCAGACACGGGCACTGAAGTGCCACAGAGAGCCACTACCCGGTCACAGACACCCGTGGGGAATCGAGACTCCGGTTCTCAGCAGCCTCCCAGTGGCTCCGCTCGCACGGACTGGCCGGAGCGCTTCCGAAGGCCTCTAGGGTTTGGCTGGAGCTCTGGGCTCCGCGGCCAGTAGGCGGGTAGGATCTCACTCCAGGGGCGGGCTCCACCCTCGTCTTACAGCCTTTCCCTTTCCCACGGGCGGGGAGGTGTCTGGCGGCGTCTCTCCTGTCCCCTCCACCGGGTGGGTGCGTGGGTCTGGCCAAGGTTGCATTTGAAGGGAAAAGGGGTGTGTGGTCAATTTTGGAAACAAGTCCTGATTCTATTTCAAACAAGTCTATTTGAAAATAGAGCTGCTTTTTCTCACTTATTGTTCAAACTCGGTGAACAATATCTGAACACCCAGTCATCTTTCATGGAAATTAGGCTTCTGAAGTATTCAGAGGGATGTCCTCCAGGTTTTGCCACTCTCCGAGATAGGTATGAGAAAAAACGTTTTTTGAAAACCCGAAAAATGCAAACTCCATTTCTATTCTCAAAACAGAGATTCAGTTAAGTAGAGTAAATTATTTCTGTGGTGGCATTATTTTCCTCGAAGGCTTAAGTTACTATTACCCATGACTGAAAATCCCACATTTGCAGGTAGATCCGATTATATTTCAGACAGCTGGAAACCAATTTGGAGTAGGTTTAATATGGCCTTGTTACCATTTGTTTCTTGCTTGAATGAGTCAGTATAATAGAGGTGTAAACATGATATAATTACATAGAAGGACAATCTGCAAAGAGGATTTCAAAGAAGTACCTATTGGGTCTTTAAAGGGAAGTAGGGATAAACTCAAAGGTCATAATTAAACTCTTTCCAGGGAAACCATAGTGTTCAGCGGTAGGATTAAAATCCACATTACTGAAAGGTAGCCTGCAGCATTCAACCCATTTGACTGCCGTTTAACTGGTAACTGGTGAAAGAAATATTCAGTGTTGAATTCTAATTCTAATATGCTTGGCAAAGCTGGATTGCAGTGCATTTCATCTTTATGGGTACAAAATTGGAATGCACTATGCTCTTAAAAATGTGTTCTTATTCACTACTGTTAGTCATTAACTTTGAGCTCTTACTGAGGGTCACCTGTATGATTTCATTCACTATTCAAAACCCATCACGAAGGTGCTGTTTCTTTCTCATTTCACAGATGAGAAGGATGAAGGTCAAAGAGAGAGAGCTTGTCTAAGTGCCAAAGCCAGGGTTTGAGTATAAGTGCCAACAGAGAACCTTGACATTATTTTCCTTCCCTTCAGGGGAAGAATTGTTTTCATTACTTTGTCTATCCCCCCTAACTACACCAAATAGGCTTGCATTTTAGAATGTGACTTCCCATACACGGATATACTTTAAAGAAACTGCATTTACCAACTCTCAGAGTTGGTTTCCTTTAAAGGTGGCAATAAGGGGCGGGGGGAATCTTGGAAATAGGTTCTCTCTAGCATCGTGGAAAAGTGGAACCTTTTACTTTGCAAATGGAATTCCCAGTTTGGCCCTTAAGAATTCATTCATTGTCAGCTTCCTCCAGGATGGGCAAACTCAGGCCAGAGAGCCAAATCCAGCCCATTGCTGGGTTTTGTACAGCATAAGAACTAAGGATGGTTTTTACATTTTTAAATGGTTGAAAAAAACCAAGAGAAGAATCATAATTTATGACACATGAAAATTATATGAAATTCACCAAGAGTAAACCCTAATGGAAACTCTTCACCACTCAGTTCGTCTTCATTGATTAAAATTAGTTTCAGAATAGTAGTTATCCTATTACTTTATCTTCCAAAATGCAAAATCGTCAGCATGGCAAGTGAAGAACCAATGTCTTTTCCAATACCAGACTTCCTGCTGACACATATGCAATTTCTTTTGAGAGAAAATGTATTAGAACATTTTTGCCATTCCCCAAACTTATAAATCCACAGCAACCTGTCATGTCCCACATGAAATCACTCTGAATGGCCTAACAATGTTGTTGAGTCACTATTCCAAAGACTTTCAAAGATTCCTATTTAGTAGGGGGAAAAAATGTTAACACTATTAACCAAGAATTTCTGGATAGACTGGAATTCCAAACGACAAAATGTGTCCAATCATGGGCTACATAATTAGGTTCTGTCATTTTAATGAAGGATATTTAGATTCAGCTAACAATTGCTGAGCAGCAATTATGTGTTAGGTCTTTTCCAGGACTTAGATCCTTTCCTCTCCACACTGCTAGCTGCTTTAGAGGCCAAGACAATGAGACAGGCTTTGGACTTTTAAAGTTCTTCAACCCTACTAGCGGGTCACTTTGGACAAATAATTTCATTTTCCTGAGGATATTTTCTATTTTGTAAAATAGGAATATTAGTTGCCTAACTGAGTAGTTGTGGGAATCAAATAAGATAATCCATGGAAACCATTTAATCAGAATGAGTGAGGCATAGAATGCTTTTCTTTCCTCCTTTACTTGTCAACCCTCTGAAATGCATGGATGAGTAATTCCTGTTTCAGCTCAATCCTGTAAAGATCAAATAAGTTCTCTTTCCATCTGCTGAATTTCAGGATCACCAAGCTGCTTAGGGTCGGAGTAAAGGCCAGCTACCGCCTTGATTTCATGTAGCTGGAAGAGCGATCCAAGTGACCCCTGTATTGCTGGGCTTTGACAATGTGCCCTTAGCCATTATAAAGGGTCTTCTCTAAGATTCATGCTGGGGGATGGGGAGAGCTCACACATTTTTCTTTGCCTCTAGATGATCTTGTTTCGAATTCATTACCAGTTTTTTTCATAGCTTGGGTACAATCTCACGAATAGGGCTGGAACTAGAGTGAGGCCAGCGAGGGCACACAATTTAAGGAGACACTCAATACTAAGAAGTGTTTCTTCTCATCTGCTATATTATGAAAAAGCTTGCCTTTATTTTTTGGGCTCATACAGAGAATGAGGCCTATTGTCTTAGAGATGCAGGAGGGAGGGCTTAGAATGGGAAGGCTTAGAATGGGAAGGAAAACCTTAGTGCTACCCAGGTTAATGTTTGTTCAACTCCTTTGAAGTACATGCTGGCGTTTCAATGCTCCATCTCCACAGATTCTCAGTGCCGAGAAGGGACCCCACCGAAGGCTGTGCCCACGTGTGCAAGGCAGGGGGTACTTCTCAGGGTTTTTATTTGTTGTGTTTCGCCCACACTCCTACTTGGACTTCCAAGTCTGGGGCGAAGTCTCTCCGCGTTGTCATCCTACCTCGCTCGCTCCCCGGATCACGTCCCCGCTGCCCCACCGGATCCCAGTCCCTTAAACCTTGAATTTGGGCTGCAGGGGCGGCGCGCCGGCGCCTGCGGCTGCGGCCGCGGCGAGCTCCAAAGGCGAGGCTTGGAGCCCTGGGCGCTGTGCAGACGCACGATCACCATGGGTGAGGATGAGTGCAGGAGCCTGGGGAAAGGTGAGTCCTCTGGGTCCGCGGGATGGAGAGGCTGGGCCTTGGCCCCAAGAGCAGCTGGGGGGGGGGGGGGGGTGCGGCGGGGGGGGGGGGGGCTGGAAGGATTCCTCTGCACAAAAGCCACGTGCAAAAGTGTCCAGTCTGGGGACTCCGGAGGAGGAGGAGGAGGAGGAGGAGGAGGAGGAGGAGGAGGAGGAGGAGGAGGAGGAGGAGGAGGAGTGCACAGCCCTCTTGAGGTCACAGGGAGGAGAGTGAGCCCCTCTCCCCAGTGGCCTAATCCACCGCTTGGTACCCCTCACCCGCCCCGCAGGAAGTGTCGCCCCAGGGCCGGTCCCAGAGGGCCTGATCCGAATCTACAGCATGAGGTTCTGTCCCTTTGCGCACAGAACGCGCTTGGTCCTCCTGGCCAAAGGCATCAGGTGAGAGATGGGAGGTCAGCGCCCACAGGCACCGGGGGATGTTGCAAATCGGGAGCGCCCCGGCTTCTCTTCTGCTCTGGACATGAGCGTCTGTCCGGGTCAGCCTCTCATGCTGGTTGTCTTGTTTTCCCTTTGCCTTTTAAGCTATGAAGTTATCAACATTAACCTGAGAAACAAGCCTGACTGGTACTATACAAAGCACCCCTTTGGCCAAATCCCTGTCCTGGAAAACAGCAGATGTCAGCTGATCTACGAATCTGTGATCGCTTGTGAGTACCTGGATGATGCTTATCCGGGAAGGAAGCTGTATCCATATGACCCTTATGAGCGAGCTCGCCAAAAGATGTTATTGGAGCTATTCTATAAGGTATGTTGATTTTTTTTTTTTTAAAGCCACCTACGCGCTCTCTTTTACTTTGTATGTCTTTCCCAAACTTCAATTCATTTTAAAGCCCAATCATCGGTGAAACTGTTTTGTTTTGATACTGCGTGTGCCTTAGGAGCATAACTGGTATGCAATTATAGTAGAGCCATCGCCTCTGATATTAAAGGTTAAAGGCTTCACTGAGAGGTGTTTTTGATGTGAACTAGCAGTCTCCAGAGGTATGATTATGGCAAAGTTTTGACTGTGTGACTTAAGATAGGAATATCGAAAGAGCTGGTGATGCTTTACAGGGAATATAATTAAGAGAATAAAGACACTAACGCACGGGAGGGAACTGCTCTTTTTTCAGAGCAAGAGTTCCAACTGTCCAAGAAATGTGGAGACAAAAGGGGGTACCTGCTGATAACGGGAGAAAAAAGTGGAGAAACTTTAAGATGGTTCTCTTTGAAATGCAATAAAAACTGACATATACTGAGCATGTATGATGTGCCAAGCACTATTTTAACTCCCTTTATAACGGTTAACTCATGCAGCCCTTACAACTGCCCTTGCACCAGGTGGGTACTATTACTGTATCCATTTTTTAGGTGGGAACACTGGGGTTAGAGAGGTTAAGTGCCTGCCTAAGATTGTACAGCATGGAAATAGCTGATCAAGTAAGAAGCACTTGAGAACACTTTTTAAAAGCACCTTGTTTTACCAGGGAGCTAAGACAAATGGATTGCTGGAACCCCTCAGGATACTCCTATTGAGGAGCCGGGATGTGGCCGTTGGCCTGTTAAGCTGGGGGGACAAAGCTTTGGCTGTATTTGTAGGCAGAGCAGAAGCGTGGAGTTCCCTCAGATTCTCCACTAAGAAACCTGTGTCCTCCGATTAGGTCCCACATTTGACCAAGGAGTGTCTGGTAGCATTGAGATGCGGGAAAGAATGCTGTGATCTGAAGCTAGCCCTTCGTGAGGAATTCTGCAACCTTGAAGAGGTACAAAAAGGGGCCCCTCTACTGGTTAGATCCGATGTAGGGTCGTTAACCTGGTCACCCTGACACCTTCTGCTTGCACAGACTTCGTCTTTCTGCCTGACTTTGATAAGTTCAGCTACTTGTCATCTTAACTCGTGCTTTCTCTATTTTAGAATATGTGCTTGGGTCTGATTTCCAGGAATGGCATTACCAGATCAAAGGGCATGTACACTGTACAGGCTGGAGCTCTATGATGCTACATCCTCCCCAAAGAGCAGTATATGAAAATGCCCTTTGTTCTACCTCCTTTTCATTCTTGGGGAACTAAAGATATGTGCCGCCCTAACCGGTTTGGCTCAGTGGATAGAGCGTTGGCCTGCAGACTCAAGGGTCCTAGGTTCGATTCCGGTCAAGGGCATGTACCTTGGTTGCAGGCACATCCCTAGTGGGGAGTGTGCAGGAGGCAGCTGATCAATGTTTCTCTCTCATCGATGTTCCTAACTCTCTATCACTCTCCCTTCCTCTCTGTAAAAAAATCAATAATATATATATATTTTTTTTAAAAAAGATATGTGCCTGTTTTGAAGAGAGAGAGCAATTTCTCATTGTTGATATAATGAGTATTTCTTTGATTGCTAGTGAAGTGGGATATTTTCCCCAAAGTATGCCATCTCTTAGTGTTCTTGTTTTTTTGTGTGAAAATGGTCTGTTAGCTGGCTTGTCTATCAAGGTCTTACTGGTTTTCTTTGCTGATTTGTGAGAGTTCCTTTTAAAGAGTTTCTTACAGGTACAAGATATTTGCTTGTTTTTAAGACATTTTTGTTTTCTTTTGTTATAGCTTTTAACTTGGCTTATCTTTTTCTGCCTGCATAGAAATATAACATTAAAAATTCTGTGCCATAATCTTTTCTGTTGTGATTTCTTCCATTGTTTTTATACACAGGAGGTTCCTCCCCACCCCCGGCTTCAGAGATTCGATCAATATTCATTTATCTTTTCATCCACCATCCATCACTTTAAAGAGGTTTGACTTGTCAAGCATTGCTTTGCTAGCTTCAACCCCCTTACTATCTTACAAATAAATTTTGGCAAAAGAATTAAGCCCATTAAAAGGATGCCAGGATAGAATTTTCAGGGTGGTCCTTTAATCCCCAAATGTTGGCAAGATGCCTTCTGAATCTTCATAGTGATGAACAGCAAGATGGGGCATGTTCTACCAGAAACTACTTCTAAGGTTTCTTTGTAGAGGACAAATGATTTTATACTCTGTTATACACACTTGGTTTGTTTTACAGGTGTCCTTGGTTCATTGTCATTAGCTCAACTTCAGCTGTATATCAGTGTAGCAGGGCCCTGAAATTTGAAATCTTGAGAATCTCCCCTTATCTTTTATGAACTCAAGACTTCTGCCCTGGAGTTGAGTACTTTACTGTTGCTTTTGGATAAGGGCCCGAATTGCTGGTTTATTGGCAAGCAGCTTTGTGTCTTTTGGGTGTGTGTTTAGGGAGAAGGGAAGGAGAGGAGGTTCTGCTTCTTAAGAACTATTTCCATCAAGAAAAACCACCTCCTTCCTCCTCCAGCAAGGACATGAGCACCCCCACTGTGAGCCACCATGCTGTCTGTCCTCCTTAGAGGCTGGGGGTGCAGGGCAGCAATTACTGAAGCTGAATCCAAGAGTCTAGGACTGTAGACTGAAGCTTTTTAGAATGCCTGGTTTGAGGAAGTCTCGGATTCTCTTCTCTTCGTGACCTTGTTTGTACACAAAACCCTTACAGATAAGATTTCTTCCTCCCTGTGAACCTCCTGGAGGTGCCACAGTCAGTGCGCCTCACCAGCAATGGCCACAAGGGGGAGCCCGCGCGCTTCTTCCTTCCACTTGTGCTCCAGCTGCTAACCTCCTTTTCATCCCCCTGGGGGAGCCCGAGAGATCCTCACAGAAGATGAGGGGACCTTCCTACCAGGCTTTTCACCTTCAGGGGGTGGAAATAGTGTTCCCTCGTCAAACCAAATGGTCCTTTGCTCTTCATTTGCATGCCCACTCTTCATCTCTTACCACATCCTTTAAAAGCAAGGGGACCACCCTCTGTAGTCATTTTTCAGTGAATTGGAGAACAGAACGTTTAAAAAATAGATTTTCTATTATTTCAGAACATCAAATGGCTATCCCTCAAATATCTCAATTTCTTAAGCCTGAATTAAAGATGTGTTAGAAGGGCTAGAAGGCAGAGCCTCAGTTCCCTCCCCACGTGTGACCTCGTGAGGGATGCCTGGGCCTTGGATGAACAATGTCTCCTCTAAGCAGGCCATTTTGCCTTGCTTGGTGATGCCAAGGACAATAGCGCTGAAAGTGAGGGATTCCACTGTGAGGGAAGCTATTCGATATTAAGAATGGCCAACATCATTCGATGTGGCAGGTGGGAAACAGAAAGAACTCAAAATAGAGTTTTAAAAAATGACGTTGGATATTAACATGACCACGGCTAAGTGCGTCCAGGTATAGCAGCAGCAGCTTCCTAGTCTGTTTCTGATGACAAAACACTTGGGAAAGATAAGACACTGGGAATTAAGACTGCCGGTTTAGTTTGCCTCTAACTATCCTAAACATTGTCAGAGCAGCTCATTGGCTGTAAGCAAGACACACTAGTTTAAACTGAGAACACAGAAGAACTATTTGAGTGAAGTTGCCTGGAAGGAGAGAATTCTGGTAAGCTCTGCAACCACGAGTATGTTGGTGTGTGTCCCCTCCCTGCAGAGCCCCTGACTGAGAGCGGGGAGAAAGAGCAGGTTTGAGGGGGCAGTTCTCCTGGGAAGCTGAGCTGGGCCAATCTGTGGATGCAGAGCAGGAGAAGCTTTCAGAATATGCCAATTCTAAGCTTTTTGCTGATTCTTAAAGAACAAGCAAAGAGTTCACAAAAGACTGGAAGCTTCTGTGAGTAGAGTCCTCCTACATTTGAAGTAGAATGACACAGGGATCAACTCTAGTCTGGGAATTAGGAGAATGGTGTTTCTGTCTTAGCTCTGGCACCAACCAGAGGGTCCCCTTACCTCCCTGGGTCTGTTTCCTATCCTGACAGTGAGACTCTCTTGTGCTTCCATGTGAGAGACAAGACTCAGCTTGCCAGGATGTTTTCCTCTCCATTTCTGCTGCCAGGAAACCCAAGTCCAATTCAAAGCTTTAAGGATCTCTGCAGGACTCCTGGCTTGATACCTTGATACCATTTTCCTTCCTTTTTGACCTTCTGTTCTTTTATTTTCCCAGAGCTTAGCATTTTATTATTTTTCATATTTAATATTTTATTGTGCACTTACTTTACCCTGCAGCTCTAATCTTCTGTGTAATGAGCCTGATCTAAAAAAATGGCAAAATGATGGTGGGGGCAGGGGAGTCACACTAGATGACTTCCAGTGGCCCTTCCGGTGCTGATGTTCTGTGATTCTAAGGGGAAAAGTTATTTCACATGTTTGGAAGTTATCAGGTTTGCACAGAAGGGAGCTCTCCTATTGAGGGTCCTAAGACTTCACTAAATCTCTGAGGAGGGCTGGCCAGTATGTTCTCTACATCACTGGGATGTGTCTGTAAAGGAGCTGGCATGTTGTGCTAGTTTACAGGAAGCCAGATATTCTGTTGGGATTTTTAAATTTGCCCTGGGAGAAATCTGGTGGAGAAATGTCTGTCTGAGGCAGCTGAGGCAAGAACTCTAAGGATCTTGATGTGAGTGGTCCCAAGTCACTCTTGGATTTAAGAAAAGTGCAAAGGAATGTGCATATGTATTTTGGGAATGGGGTAGAAGCTGCCAGAAAATAGTTGATGCCTCACCCATTTCATCTATATGCTCATCTTGACTTTTTACTATACAAAGTACCTTGTTATGACTTGAATTACTTTGTGAGAGCTGATGTACAGGTTGATCATAGCTATAAGATCATATATATTTAATGGCATACACTCCTACTTTGAGTAAATGAAAAGCTTCAGAAACATATACTAAATAAATGTCAATTCCTAAGCAACTATTCATTTTCAAAATACCTTGTTACTTTACCAAAGGACCCATCATGGGTTCCATTAAATGTCTGCATATGATTTCTTTTGACAAGGACTTCCCAAAAGCACCTCTGCTCTGTAAAGCACAGGAGTTACACAGAAATTCCAGAGTTGATCCACTTAGATTGGGTTCTGATTTGTGCCATGAAAGCTAGTAATAAGCTGAAAGTATATGTTTCAAAATCAGTGATACAAATTTGGTAACTATTTTTATTCCCGACCATAAGAAGTCTTGTGCCTTTCTGGAATCCATGAAAATGGAACAATTTGTCCCTCTACTCTGTACGTCAGAGCTTATTTATACATGACTGAAAATAGTCTCTGTTTTGAATTTTTATTGGCCAGATTCTGTTGTTTTAGTACGATCCTGTTAGTAGTTTCTTTGAACAAAGTGACACCATCTCACATTTTTTTCAGATTTTCAGGACACCAGGAAGGGGGCTTCTCTATGCCATACTGGGAGAGAATGAAGACTTAGACTTAGGGCCACAAGATTTGCTTTCTGCTCTGAGAAGGATGTGGGGACCCCATTGATCCTTTCTGTGTGAGGGGTGGATTTGCTTTATGTGGATGTAATCTTCTGAGGTCACTGTGCTTTGTCATCACAAGAACTCACTTTACTCATGCATGGTGGGCACTAACATTGCCACCATTTTACAGATGAGAAAACTGAGGCTTGGAAGAAGAGGTACATAAGTTGCCCTGGTTTCATGTTGAATGAGAGGTGAAGCCCAGCACAGGACCAGGAAGGAGGAGGAAGAAGGGCGGGGGGGGGGGGGGGGAGAGAGAGAGAGAGAGAGAGAGAGAGAGAGAGAGAGAGAGAGAGAGAGACATCAATGTGAGAGAGACACATTGATTAGCTGCCTCCCACAAGGGTCCTTATGGGGCTGGGGAACCTGCAACCGAGGTACATTCCTTTGACCGGGAATTGAACCTGTGACCCTTCGGTCCACAGGCCAACACTCTAACCACTGAGCAAAACCAGCCAGAGCAGAACTTACCTTCTTAACTATAACCTACACTACCTCATAGAGTCAACATCTGTTTTAGAGTATAAAAAATCAAGCCTGATTGATAAAGATAAGAGTATGGAAATCTAGATAAAGGGCACAGGAATCTAGATCTGTAACTACAGGGAAAAATTTAGTTTACTATGAGTTAAATGGGTCAAAGTCATCTGATTAACTAGGTAATTGACACCATACCTTTCTCTTTGGGAAAACCTGGCCTAAAAATAATCTCTGCTAAGTACTTTTGCTTTTTAAATTTTCAAGTGCTTTTATTTGTTTATTTATTTTGACTTTGGCTGTCTGTTAAGAGTTTATCTGCTTTCTATCTGGATTAATTTGTCCCATTTGGGAAAGAGAAATTTTATTTTAATGTAAAAAATTGATAATGTTGAGTGGCCAACAAGTGTGAAGTTCAAAGAATTGAAATAAAAAAGAAAATATGATAAAAAGACAATGGTGAGATTAGATTCTAATTAGACTCAGTGGTTCTCAACCTTCTGGCCCTTTAAATACAATTCCTCATGTTGTGACCCAACCATAAAATTTTCATTGCTACTTCATAACTGTAATGTTGCTACTGTTATGAATCGTAATGTAAATATCTGATATGCAGGATGGTCTTAGGCGACCCCTGTGAAAGGGTCGTTCTACCGCCAAAGGGGTCGCGACCCACAGGTTGAGAACCGCTGGATTAGCGGGAGTCCATTAAGTAGCACTGCTCTTTCTTGCCCAGCTCCGTGGTTGAGTGTCGACCTATGAACCAGGAGGTCATGATTCAATTCCTGGTCAGGGCACATGCTCAGGTTTCAGGCTTGATCCCCAGTAGGGGGCGTGCAGGAGGCAGCTGATCAATGATTTTTCTCTCATCATTGATGTTTCTATTTCTCCCTCTCCCTTCCTCTCTGAAATCAATAAAAATATTTTTTTTAAAGAAAGAAAGCAAAAGAGGAAGGCACATGGTGACACAGTATCCCCTTTGTTACAGATACAGTGAATCCTGGAAAGTGGAGGGTCACAACTGGAACAAGTGGGGTTCCTCCTGTGGCCCTCCTCCATCCCAGTATTAAGCTGCACTGGCCTGACACAGGGCCTCCCCTTTCTGGGGGCTGAGCTGCTCCACGGACAGCATAGCACTGGGAGGAGCCTGCTCCAGGCTGAGAGAGGGGCTGGGCTCCCGCTGCCTGGGTGGTCCTTCCAAATTCTCCCATCAGAGGAGCCACCCTTTCCCTCCAGGGTTCAAAGGAGGGAAGGGACTGAGTGTGGCCAGGAGTATTACCCTAAATAGGGTGGAGGAAACCTCAGAAAAAGGGAGGAAGCACTTACCTAACAAATCAGAAGGAGAATCAAAGCCGAAGTTCTCCCTCTGTGGGAACTAATTTGATATTTGTAGTTAGTGTCTATAACTATGCCAGCAGATCAGCAAATTAACTTGCTTTTGTTCTGTTTAAACTTTTAGATTCTTAGCTATCAGAACACCGTCTTCTTTGGTGGAGACTGTATATCCATGATTGATTACCTCTTTTGGCCCTGGTTTGAGCGGCTGGATGTATATGGAATAGCTGAGTAAGACATTTGACCACGTGGTCATGAATCCCTGGGGTCGGACTGGGCAACAGTGGTTGAAATGGTGTGTGTGCCATTCATCCTCCTCTGGACGTGTTTCACGATGCGTGTGAAATGAAATCAGGTTTTAAACTGTTTCCTTGTTTAAAATGCATCTGTGTTCTTCTGCCACTCTCTGTGGACCCACACTCTCCCCATATTTCTGCTGGTAAGACCTGTGGTGCCTCAGAGCTACCGTCCTCACCAGCCCATCCAAACTCAGGCCAGTGGTGCAAGCAGGTGGTGAGTCTTAGTCATCGGGTTTTGGTGACTTGTCTGCAGCTCCCTCAGTGGCCCTGCTCCTGGACCTGCTGAGATAATCCTCCTAAGGATTGTCTAGAAATCCAGTGCCCACCACACACTTTACTCACAGTTAGTTCTCTGAGGAATCTTCCCCAGATAGGAATATTTTAAAAAAAACACACACACACACACACACACACACACACTGATTTTAAAAGCAATAGATGCTCGATGCTAAAACAAATGAAATGGCCACCATGGAAGTGTAGGGATGTTCAAAGTAGAAGAAATTGCGTGGAGGTGGCGGGGGGAGGACTATGTAGGGGCCCTGGGCAGAACATGTGCTTTGTTGTCAGAATGCTCAGAGGAGAAGTGCTGGCTCTAATCCCAGCCAGTCACATGGTGGGTGCTGGATGCATGGTGGGTGCTGGATGACTCTGGCATTTGGGAATCCAGTCCTGCCCAGCCAGAGCTGTGAGGGTGCCCTTGTAATGGGTAGGCTTGACTCTACCCAGGAGCCATCTGCACATCCCCCTTTGGCTGTCTCTGAGCAAAGATCAGACAGAACATATTCAGATATTTTAAACTCTGTCTCAACACAAACATCATGTAAAACCTGTCTCCTCTGGGGACAGAGTATTGAACCACAGATTTCCCACTAACAGGTTGTATGATCTTGAAAAAGTCACTGGGCATAGTCTAGATCTAAACTTCTGATCTTTGAAATAATGGAGCCCAATCAGCTCCATTATTTCAAAGTTTGATGATTGTTTCCACTCATTATTTTTTTAAAGTGTTTTGGAAACGACTTGTTTTTATTTTTTCCAAACCCACTAACGTAGGATCTGAGAATGACAGAAGAATGTCTCTTTCAGAGGGTTGTCTTCCTGTTGGTAACCAGCCAGGCATAGGCACCTTATTTCCCCAGAGCAATCAGCCCACTAGTATTTAACTGTATTGTTAAAATCAGTAGCAACTTACACAATTCAAAAGCACACACAGGTATTCCAAAAACAAGGTTTTCTTTCAATAAGTGATCATGCTCAGTTGCTCATAGCTAACTAAGATGACTCTATTGCCCAAAGAAACCCATTTTTTTGGTATCTAAAGAGCGACGCGTGCCATTTTCCCTGATGCCTTCCTCTTCCGGTGAGCTAACACTTCTTTCCTGTCCTGCAGCTGTGTGAACCACACCCCCGCTCTTCGGCTCTGGATAGAGGCCATGAAGCAGGACCCCACGGTGTGTGCTCTTCTCATAGATAAGAATATTTTCCTGGGCTTCTTGAATCTCTATTTTCAGAACCACCCCGATGCCTTTGACTATGGGCTGAGTTGCTGAGCCCCATGGTCCACCCCTTCACTACCCAGAATTCCCAAGCATGTCGTGACACTGTTCCAGGAGTTGTTTGGGTGGGTCAATCAATCTCTGTTCCTTTTCTTTGAGGTTCCTAATAAACATGGAGACAGAAAAGGTATTCTTTCTGGTCGTCACTGTCTGACTCCTCGAGCCCATAGCTTCTAAGGATTGTCTAGAAAGCCAGTGCCCAGTGCACGTTTTAGGAGCCTATGTGCTTCCCTGGCTCCTTGGCCTTGGGCCCCAGTTTGACCTCCAGATTATTGATGCTGATGTTGATGTTTAAGGCCTACCGATCATTGACATTTGTCACTATAAGCTGGCATCCTCCACAACCTCCCTGGTGGGAGCAAAGGCAGAGAGGAAAAGGAAGAAGAAAACACTCCAAATCCAAATATTCTCCACTTGGCAAACGAAAGCTGCAGCCCACGTGGGTGAGCATGAGTATCATTGTCATTCACATTTTGGCTATGGGCCTGGGAGACACCGGGGGTCCCATGACTGAAAGAATTCCAAAGCAGGAAATGAAACACCCGTTATCACCCTGGACTAAAGACGTCAGAATTTTACCAGTGCTGTCGGGGCTCAGGATAGCTCACAAAATGTTCTATAGCCAACATCCTGTCTTAAAAAAATACACACACCCCAAACCCAGTCCCAGGCAAAGGTCACCCTGTTGGATTTGCGTCACACACTCTTTCAATTCATTGCATCGAACACCTCCAGTTGCCTGTTGTGTACCAAACCCTGGGACATCTGCGTGATAAGATAACAAAGGTGACAAAGACATGGGAGCCCCGGGTCCCTCCACTCATTTTGGTTGGGGTGTTAGACCTAGTGCTTTGAAGCTGCTTGTCTTGCTGTGGGAATGCTTGTCTCAGCCTGATATGCTGGCTCGGACCCCTGAAGGTGACAAAGAGCCCAGAAGAGTGGCCTGGTGTGCTGGCAGGTGTCTTAGGCGTGGGACGGGTCTGTCCAATGCCATCTTGTCTCAGGATCTAGCGATCAGCCTGTGATCCTTTTAAGCCTAACTTTTTCCCAGCCTCCAGCCAGGCTGAGACCAGGCAGCAACAGGAGTGATGTTGTGAGCTGTCTGCTGCCCTTGCCTCTGACTCAGCCCAAACCAGCCTCATTTCTCCCCATGTCTCAGCCTGGCCTGGCCATCTGCTGCCTCTGGGTGTATTTTGACGCATGTAAATAGTTACCAGTGTGACTCCGTGCCAGTTGGACAGAAGCAATCCTGCTCCGTGAGGTGGCCTGGTCTGCCATCGCAGGCGCCACATGACAGGGGCCATCTGCTGCACCGTCTTCTCAGGATGGGATGCCCTGTTGCCATGGCACCCAGGCCAATGCAGAGTGACGTCTGTGAGTCACATTTCCCTGGGATCTTTGCTGGGCTTCTGTGGCCTCTCCAAGGACGTGGGGACTGATCAGCCCTTGCAGGTGTAAATCCCATGTGCTGGTGAGTGTTTAGCATGGGACCAAAATTACTGTCAGCACAACAGTTAACGGCATGTCTCTGATGGCCAAAACCAAAGATGTTCTCTGTTGGGCTCCACATACTAATTTAGGAAGCTTGAAGCACCAAGAACTAAAGCATGGAGGAGAGTGCTTGTGGGGCAGGCTGCAGGCTGGCAGCCCACAGCCCAGTTTGGGATTTGAATGCCTTTCCGCCAGCTGTGCTCTCTGCATTTTGCAAAGGTCACCTGCACTGCCTTCCACCTTCCACTTTTTCTCCCCCCACCCATCTGACCCACAAAAGAATCTGAGTTGTTAACCTCTGGATGAAACTAGGATTTAGCCCAGAGGAAAGAGGAAATTAATGTTCCATGAGAAGCTTTTAAAAATATTTTTTATTGATTTCTGAGAAGTGAGGAGAGAGACACACACACACACACATCAATAATGGGGGAGAATCATTGATCGGCTGCCTCCTGCATGCCCCTCATGGGGGATCGAGCCCACAACCTGGGCATGTGCCCTGACAGGGAATTGAACTGTGACCACTTGGTTCATAGGTCAACACTCAACCACTGAGCTACACTGGCAGGGCATGAGGAGCTTTTTAAAATACCACTTATATTATTGGGAGAGGGGCAGAAATGCATCAGGATAATAAAAATACAATGAAAAAGAATAGGAGGTGTTGCTTCTCCTATCTCAGAGATAACCACTTTTTAAATATATATATACTAGGGGCCCGATGCACGAAATTCGTGCACTGGGTGGGGGGGCGGGGAGTGTCCCTCAGCCCAGCCTGCCCCTCTCACATACTGGGAGCCCTCAGGCGTTGACCCCCATCACCCTCCAATCGCAGGATCGGCCCCTTGCCCAGGCCTGACGCCTCTGCCAGAGGTGTCAGGACTGGGCAGGGGACCCTCATTTCCCCCCATCACTGGTTCTGCCCCCAGCCCAGGCCTGATGCCTCTGGCCCAGGCGTCAGGCCTGGGCAGGGGACCCCCAGACCCCTCCGATTGCTGGCTCTGCCCCTTGCCCAGGCCTGATGCCTCGGCCAGAGGCGTAGACCCCCATCACCCTCCGATTCGCCTGATCGGCCCCTTGCCCAGGCCTGACGCCTCTGCCAGAGGTGTCAGGCTTGGACAGGGGACCCCCATCTCCCCCCTGATCACTGGCTCTGACCCCCGCCCAGGCCTGAGGCCTCTGCCAGAGGTCTCAGGCTTGGACAGGGGACCCCCATCTCCCCCCCGATCACTGGCTCTGACCCCCGCCCAGGCCTGAGGCCTCTGGCCCAGGAATCATGCCTGGGCAGGGGACCCCCATCTCCCTCTGATCGCTTGCTCCGCCCCCCACCCAGGCCTGATGCCTCGGCCAGAGGAGTTGACCCTCATCACCCTCCGATCACCAATCACCGGATCGGCCCCTTGACCAGGCCTGAGGCCTCTGGCAGAGGTGTCAGGCCTGGGCAGGGGATCCCCAGCTCCCCGCGGTTGCAGGCTCCGCCCCTGCCCAGGCCTAAAGCCTCTGGCCTAGGCGTCCGGCCCGGGCAGCGGGAACCCGCAGCTGCAGCGGCCCCGCGATCGTGGGCTCCGCTTTAGGCCCAGGCAAGGGACTCCTAGCTCCCGGTACTGCCAGCTTTGACCGTGCCCAGCTCCCATCGCTGGCTCCACCCCTACTTCCTGCTATCACTGGCCAGGGCAGCAAAGGCGCCTGATTCTCCGATCATGGGCTGGGGGGCAGGGCAAAGGCAGCCCCAGGGCCACCTTTGCCCTGCCCCCCACCTCTTAGCTCCCCCATGGGTTTCCGATCACTGTCAGTGGCAGGGGGCTTCTTCCTGCTTTCCCTTTCGCCTCCCTGCATTGTGCCTACATATGCAAATTAGCCGCCATCTTTGTTGGCAGTTAACTGCCATCTTAGTTGGCAGTTAATTTGCATATAGCCCTGATTAGCCAATGAAAAGGGTAGCGCCGTACGCCAATTACCATTTTTCTCTTTTATTAGTGTAGATATTTTGTTGATTTTTTACAGAGAGGAAGGGAGAGAGATAGAAACATCGATGAGAGAGAAACGTCGATCAGCTGCCTCCTGCACATCTCCCACCGGGGATGTGCCCGCAACCCAGGTACATGCCCCTGACCGGAATCGAACCTGGGACCCTTCAGTCTGCAGGCCGACGCTCTATCCACTGAGCCAAACTGGTTTCAGCGAGATGACCACTTTTAATAATTGGTATATATCTTATAAAAGCATGTTAAATTTAAGGAATGAAGGCGAAAGCTGTTTTCTATATCTTGTAGATTGGAAAAAGAGAAAATAGTTTCAACCACAGACAGCATTTGAAAGAGCCTCATTGTCATCTGATCCAAGACCAGAGGAGACTGGTAGAGCTCCCTTAGAGTTCTGCACTGGAGCCATCTGGACCAAGTCCAGTTACAACCTGACATGGTGGGTGTGGGGCGGAGGTGGCAGTGGTGGTAGGAGAGTGGGGAGGAGATGGTACTAAATGTTACTTGAAATTCCCTCTGGCTCTAAATTTCTCTAATCTCAGACAACAAAGTGTTAGAGTGGATTAACTGAATTATCAGGTATAAACCATGAATATCAAGGGGAATGACCACCACCAACCTCCATGGCCCTGAATCTGGCTCTACTTAAGCCTTCTGCTGTTGTCTCTCTGGGGTTGGGGGAATATATGGACTGCCTCATATTCTTCACTGGGAGACCTTGGGGCTGATCTGCAGGTTCAAATCCTAGGGAGCTGGTTCAGCACTAACCATAACTTTTGGGAGAGACCCAAGGTCACTGTCAGCCTTTTGGGGTCCAACCACTGTCCCAAGAGACCTTTGGTCTAACATAGCTTAGTCCACTCTCCAGGAATAGGTGAGCAATGAGGTGGGGGCAGGGGGCTGGGTGAGTCATCTCTGGCCAGCTGGGAAGAGAAGCCCAGGGTTGGCTTGTGATAAGTGGCAGGAAGTGGGTCTTTGCTTTCTATTTATAGTTTAAATAGTTTCCCTAAAAGAAACCTAAAATATCACTGATTGGTAGGGTTTAAAGAAACAGATGGGATCAAATTTTCCCCATCCTCCTACCCCACCCTTGCCCTGCCAATCTCACCTTGCACTCTGAAGACCAAGCTTTTCCCGTCAAGAAAAGTAGAAATACCTCTGAACATTTTTGGGTGTTATGTGGTTGCATTTTGTTGGGAGATAATTTGTTGTTGACAGTTTTATTTCCTGGTTTCTTTGTGGGGCTTAGAGGAACACCAAAGCAATGGAAAAATGCATTTCTCCTGTAGAGCAGGGGCCCTCATTGTGCAGGAGGCAATAAGCCAGCCCTGGGCTCAGATGAATGGAACACAAGCATTTGGGGACAGAATGACAATTGTGCTGGATTTTCTTTTCGGGGTTTCTTCACATTTCCCCGTGTATAAGGGAGCAAAAACGATTACAACTCCCTCATGCCATGCGGGGCTCAGAGCCACATTCTTTCACCTTCGGTTACCCTTCACCCTTTCACCCTTCATTGTTCTCTGACTTATTTTGTGACCATTGGTCTTGTCTTCCCAATAGACCCAGTTTCTTAGGAACACAGCCCTTGTCTTAAATTTCTGTTCCCCTCTGTGGAACACGAGCCGTAGTTGGTTAAAAATGCCTT